ATATGTAAGTCAATGATGAGATTCAAATAAGAAATAGGACAATTCATTAGGTGTCAAGTACCCAACGGCAAGTTGAGCAACAGAGTTTTGAATAAACTAAGTAAAATGGGTGAAAGGAAAAGGGTAGTCACATTAGCATTAGATACTTAATATTAAATAAGAATATCCTTTCTGAGCCAGAAAGTATCTTTCATGACTGGATAACATAGGAACTAAGCTAATAAGCACTTTATCTGCAGAAATCAGGACCCTGTTATCTTAAGTGACTGCACACAAATATTTAGAAGTTGAACTTAGACACAAATACAGATGTCTGGAATGGGCATTTTGTGTCACTGTTGGAAACAGTTGTTGGAAAAGATTAGTAAATAAATACCAGAATATTTACTACATGCATTCTGACAGGTTGCAACATTATACCAAAACTAAACATGTCAAATTAAGCTTACCATTTACTTATTTATGAGTGTACCAATTTCCTTATTTTGACACATCATTGAACACAACCGTTCTTTGCCTGAGTTGAAAATCAGCTCCTATCTCAAGTTACCAACACTGAAGCGCAGGAAATCTGAACTTGTGATCCCCTACAGATAAAAGACTTTCCCAATCTTCTACTCCACCACCCTAAAACTCCTTTCACTGACACATACACTTTTTTGTCACTGTTGAATTTTCAGGCACAGAACATATGTGAAAATGATACTACCTGCATTTTCTGAACATTTTGTTCCTTTACTGGCAAACAAAAGGGACAAACACGTTTCAAACTCCTTCCTGCTCTACTGTTCTGTTTCAGAGGGCAATTCTGCTTTGATATTGACACATCTTATAAAACTTCAGAAATCCAAGAATGTTTCAGAGTAGTTCATAATGACATTGAAGAATGGCAAACCTACCTCACAAAACACAAAGCTATATGAAGTCTAGTATTGAATGACACAAACTGGTTTTATCTTCTTGAACTCTTATTAAATACATTAAATAAAGCTTCTTAACTGGCAATAAAAATTACAAGTAGAGTATTTATAATGCATATATAATACACTGTGGTAATTCAGACTTTATTACAAAAAGTTAGTTTGCCACTTCCATAAATACTGAGACAATATACACATAATCACTCCAGAAAAATTTAATTAAATGAGCTTAGAACAATTTGAATTAATTTATTACTTTAATAACTGTCAATTATTTTTTAATTACTAATGTTACAATGCAAATCTTACCTAGATATAATAAATTCTTAGATCAGGGAAATTTATTGAATAAATTCTAGATGACAGGCTAAAATGTAAAATAAAGAAATACAGCAGCCAAGATCTTGAGCTGCAGCCAAAGAACATTAAGCACAGTGAAGGAAGTTTAGACAATATTTTCAGGATTTTCTTATTCAGTGCTTTACTAGTTGAAGCAATAAAATTTACATGTAATCTCATTTTAGTTTTAAGTTAGATCTTAAAAAAATCTAGATTGTTCATTTTAACTATTTTTATTATCTCCTGTTTTGCAACAAGATGAGGGCAAGGAAGTGTCATTCACACGCTCCTCTGCATATCAGCCAGTAAGCAATGTGAGCCACTCACTGCTTAGACAAGGTTCAAAACCCATAAACTTACACTCAAACAAAAAACCTCAAACAAAACCCCACAACATATTAGAGCCTGTATATTTGGTTAGCAAAGAGAGCATTGATTTAAAAACTGGAGACATTAAAAATGCAACAAGAAGGGTTTCTATTGGTACATCAGTAACAAAAGTAAGATGGAGGAAAATTGAGTTCGTGGCTGAATGAGGTGGGGCCAAAGAACACAGAAAAGTCTCAGGATGTCAGTACCTTCTCTGCCTCAGTCTCTAGTCTCAGTCTAAGAGGAAGGCACAGGTATGGAACATTTAAGCAAACTGAATGTGAATAAGTCCACTGAACCAAAAAGGGTGCAGCCAAACGTGCCGAGGAAGGCAGTCAGCACAGTTTTGAGAGAGCACACATCTTCAAGTTTGTGGTGATCGGGAGATACTCCTGTTCACTGAGGGTGTGGGACAAAGGGCATGACCACCAGAGGGCAAGAAGAGGAATTCCAAACTCTGGCTTTGTAAAAATCACACAGCAAGTTTTCCTGGATTCTACTTGCAGGTGCATGATGGTCAAGAAGACTAGTAAAGTTAGAACAGGTTTATAGAGAGCAAAACCCACCTGACCAACATGACAAGCTTCCCTTACACAGTTATGGGCTCAGTGGACCAACAGGAGGCAGTGGGTTTAATTTACTTTAGCTTTAACAAGGCTCTCCAAATGGTTTCCTAAAAGTAACCAAATAGTAAAGACCTAGACTTCAGTGAACTAAAAGTTATGTAGAAAGCTAGCTGGAATGCAATTAGAAGCTGGCATTATTTTGATGGGAAGCTGGACCACAAAATCTTCAAAGGTCCAAACTAATTTTTTCATATTACTTAATTCCCTTTAAAAACAAAAAGATGAAAGGCACTTAATCCTAATTTTCTTTACATGTGACCGCAGTTTGTGCTTTATTCTCTGTGAAAAAGACTGTTTGAATGTAAGCAGAAAACATTCAACATGCTCTCTACCATATCAGGCAATGACTAAAGGAGCAATCCTGAACATTAGGGATTTTTCTTCCAGTTATCATCCTGGTAGCACTCGGTTGGACTCACACTTGAATATCAATATCTTTCTTGTACTGAGGAGCCCAAAACTGAACACTGTACTCCAGATGTGGTCTCATTAGCACTGAACAGAGAGGAAGAATCACTTCCCTGAACCTGGTACTCTCTCGCTAACACAGTTGGTGTTGCTGCAGCTTTTCTTTGCTGCTAAGGCATGCTGCTGGGTCATGTTCAACCTTCCATTGTTACCCCCAAGTCCCTTTCTGCAGAACTGCTTCCTAGGGCACTTGTGCTGTTGCAGGGGGCTACTCCACCTCAGAAGCAAGGCCTTGCTCTCACTTTTGTTGAACTTCATGAGAGTGCTGTCAGCCCATTCTCCAGTCTGTTCCAGTCCTTTTGACCAGCAGCCCTGACATCCAGAATATTGATGCAGCTCTCCCCACCCATTTGGTGCTCACAACTGGTGAATACACTCCAATCAGTCACTCTGCTAATTACTGAAGACATTAATCAGTATTGATCTCTGAGGAACTGATAGTTATTGGCTGGACTTTGCACCTCTGATCACCTGAGCATATTTTCCTGCCCACCTTATCTTCCATTTAATCACTTCCTACCATTTGATTATCAGGGGACTATAAAAGAGTGTGTCAAATGCCTTCCTAAAGTCAAAGCATTCAATGTCCATGGCTCCCCATGTCCCCATCACAGAACAAAATCAGATTGGTCTGAGGGCTGGAGCACATGGCATACGAGGAAGGGGTAAGAGAGATGATTAGCCTTGAGAAAAGAAGGTTCAGGGAAGATCTGACTACCGTTTACAAATACCTGATAAAAGAATAAAGAGAAGTTGGGGACAAATGGTCTCTGAGTTGCACAGCCATAGGACAAGAGGCAATGGCCACAAGTGGAAACTCCAATCATATACAAATAAAAACTTTTTCCTATGAAGGTGGTCCAGGCATTGTTCAGAAAGCTTGTGAGACCATAACTCTTAGAGACATCTGAGAGTCAAACAAACATGTCCTGAGAAATCTGATCTATTTAGACCTAATGTGAACAGGAGGTTGGATTAGATGACCCTCAGACGTTCATTTCATCCTAAAGTAGTCTATATTTTTACGGCTTCAAACACGTGTTAAAAAAAAATATATTGCCATTACAAATGAGCATCTTCACAAACAGAAAAGTGTAGAAGTGCACAGCTGTACTTGGCTAGCCTAGACATAACTTTAAACTTCTGTTAATTAAATTTAATTTCAACTATTGCATAGGAAATTTATTTCTATTTTGTGTTATTTTTTTAAAGTAAAATAAATCAAGATAAATTATTAAGAAAAATTTGACATGTTTCAGGACTAAGAAGTGATTTTTTTCTATAGGAATAAATTAGTGTCTTATGGATGTCTCGATTTAGTTTCTCTACACTGAATATACAGAAATAGCACGTCTTCTATTACTAAATTTATAATTAAATAGCATCTCGCTTAATGTGCCTTAGAGTGACATCTTACTCTAATTATGAGATGGAAATAGTCCAGAATACAAACTCAGTTGTGTGTTCTTGATCACGTGAAAGTTTGAATATATTAAAATGCATCTGGGTTCTTCCTCTATTAATCGCAATCTGTATGCAATAAAGATCTCAAAAAGGAAGGAAAAAAATGCATTTCCTCTTGCTTTCCACCCCCCAGCAACCTCCGACATGTTTTCTGCCTTGAGCTTTGCCTTGGGCAAAAATAAAGTCAAGTGGTCTCATACAAACAGTGAATGTAAACCCTCCACTCAATTCTTTTTCATTTTACAAATTGGAACTGTATGCATGTTTTTCTTCCCTTCTTCTAGCACAGCTAAGTCATCCCCCAAAACAATGAAGAACACAGCATAGTACATGTATGAGAATAAACCTAGTTATTAATTTTTAGGCTCAAAAGAATGCTAACAACCCAGTAGGATAAAAATGTAGTTTAAAAAAAACTGTGCATCAGCCACTTCGAAATAGAAACTGAAATCTTGCTCAAAGATTTACAAAGATGTATGAAAATCAAATTGCAAGAGGACAGCACAAACTGCCGAAACATTTCTCAAAAGATACCTATGTCAATAATAAATTCCACATTTATTAACAGTAATTCATATTTACTATCCCATTTCTCCCAAAAGAAGCAGCAATACATAAATGTTGATTATACAGAGAGCAACTACATTTTTGCATTAATCTCCTGCTTAGGTCATGGTCTTATCACGATTATTTAAATTCAAGAGCAATACTTGGTTGACAAGGTACTGCAGTGCTGCAGGCTACAATCTTCACACAACGCCTAAAGGGTTATTACTGTGGAGAAATTCTACTGAGGACCATGAAAGAGCCTTACCCCTTCCCGAAGACACCTCATTAGCACCGTGTAAGCAGCTGAGGGAACAGCCCAGCATTCTCTGGGGTGCTCCCCTTTTTCCTCCTGAAATGAAGCCAGCGGCACAAATGATTAAATCAAAAAATCACAATAATCTCAGTCACATAAAAAATGGGCAACAGATTCTTAATAAGGTTCATATTATACGCATTTCAAATTAACATATGCTATGAAATATATTAAATTCCAGGGCATTATTACTATTTAATGTTATTTCATGTGCAGCACAGAGATTGATATTTTATTAGCTTATTTAAATAGTCTCCAAAATCCATAACAGAATGTGCCCTAATATTCCTGCATTTCATCAATTCATTCTAATTCATTCTAATTCACAGAGATGCTAAAAAAAAATCTTGTATTCCTCGCAATCATTTTGAGCTCCTCAGAAAAAGAAAATGGACTATTAAGAGGTAGTAATGCTTCTCTTTAAATGTAATTTAATTATACCAAACAAAATCAATTAATTTTGTCTGGTAACCAAAAAAAAAAAAAACAACTTACTTTTGAAAAAAATACTCTACATACATAAAAGAAGATATCAAGTGTTTAATAAAATTTACTGTCTGGTATAGCTTTCAGTTCATATGAACACTGTTCCAAGATCTTGATGTATATTTCCTTGAAATCACCCTGTTATAGGGGGTAATTCACTGCTGGTTGAATCAGGGGGTTGATTGTTCCATTAGAAGTGAACTCCACTTCCCCCTACCCCCCATAGTTGCCTACTGTAAAATTTCAAGTTTAAAACGGGACACTTGGATATCATGAAGAGTTTACTGCAACAATTTCCATATCCAGGCTAGTAACACAGAGTTATTTGCAAGTGAAAAAATAGTCTCTTTTGGGAAAGAAATTGAGAAATAATAAGCATTGGGTAGTATGAATACTATAGGCCATGAAACCCATGTGTAACTTGTTTTAATAAGGTGACAAAGGATAACAAGCAACAATTTCTTCAGAAATTATACAATTCTTGAACGGTACTGATTATATTCCCGAATTATTTTTAGCATTTTAATTAATTCTTTATTATAAAAAGCATAGTACGGGCAAGGTGGACATTGACGATGCAGAAACAAATTGTACTTTCTAAATTTTCTGATTTCTGAATGACTTACAGTAATTCAACATATATGATGCGACAATTTCAGGCATTTAATTGAAGCACGGCAAATTATCAGGGAAGACTATTACTGAATTGTCTAGTAAAATTAATTTTCCCAAAACAAAATTTTATTTACCACATATATTAATAGAGGAAATGAGTTTGTTAAATCTCCCATTTATAAGCTTTTTTCTGCTAACTTGGTATTAGGAAGCATGGAACAACTCCTCCTTGGAGTAGTTTACAGACAATAATAATAAGAGTGGCTTGACATCCAACAGAGACAGCAGATCTACTACATTCCACCTCCTTCATCTTATCTGAGTAACAGCATGTTGACATTTAATCACAGTTTGTCTTCCAAGGCTTAACGTATAAGTTGAAGAGAATGCAACCCGTTGCAAAAAAAAGGAAAGGGAGGTTACTTTCAAACAGTCAAAAAGTGGAATCTTTTCCACCTGGAAGAGGCAGGACAAGACTAGGAGTCAAGAGAGAGTTAAAAAGAGCATCTCTGTTGAAATTGGCATAGGTCTGTTTCTCATTTTCTTCACCTAATTCAACCAGAAATTCTGTCAAGTTCTTCTGCAACCATACATATTAAAGGTACTATAAAATAAAAAGCCTTAAGAAATGGTGCAGTCCTGAAACACTAACAGTTCTTCCATTCTTCAAACTGATTAATGACTTTTTGCAGAGTTTAGTCTTTATTTAGAAATAAAAAGAGGCAAAGGGGGTTTGAAACTTGGAACCATTCTTAATTACCTAAACATACCTACACAATTTGACATTTAATAAATTTAAATATATCACCAAACACTGGGGAATCTTTCTACGTTTTGTTCAAAATCAAAATCATGTTGATTTTGATTAAACTTTAGATTCTGCACCCTAATAACACAAACAGCACAAAATGAATAAAAATATTACATAAAACTTGAAAGTTTTCCCTCAAGGCAATTCGCTCAAGAGTATCAGAACATCCTCCCTGGAGTCTGCTCATGCTACTTGTAAATTGCTCTTGGCTTCTGTTTGGAATAAAAATGCAGAGATGAAGTGTAAGATCTTACTTATGAGATCTCGTATGCAAGTACACACATGATATCAGAGTTTAGGATTGAACAGGATCATTATGATTATCTGGACTATTTTCTAAATCATAGAAGTGCAAATAGTGATCCTATATTTAACCTAATGAATCATCAAGCACCTAAACAGCTGAACTTGATTTTAAGTATTTGATAATTTATGATTTACCAAAGGTTCATATGAAAAAGAAGTAATCTTTATCATTATTGAATATTAAAATTGTGGCTGGACCTAGAAATACTTGGCAGAAGCCCAGAGGGAATAAATAAATAAACAAAAACAGTCATGCCCTCAAGAACTTACACTTTAAATGAACATACTTAGCAGCTTGATAAAACAATGAAGCAGGTTAAAGAGCAAAAATGGGAGAAAACAAGGAAAACAAGAAAACCAAAAATATTTTGTGTATTTTGTGTCCTTAATGAATTAGATGCTGTTATGATTTTTTTTAACTCACCAAATCATAAAGTTTTGCTGTTTAAAGACATAAGTTGGCAATAAACTTTTTTTCCTGTTATACTACCACTGACTTGGTATCTGATCTTGGCAAGATCATTCAATACTACTGTTCAGCAGTTTAATGAGCAACAAAATGCCTACAACACTACAGCATTCTGAGGTTAAATATGTACAGAATAAAGAAACTAAAAGGGCTTTTCTTAAAAAAAAAGAAGTGTTAGCATCTCCAAGCATACAAATCACCTTGATATTTTTAAAATTTTACCAAGACATGGTGTCTTTAGTTCATATATGTCCAAATATTTATTCCTATACTCTAACAGTTTCTCAGCTACAACTCAAAGCAATGCAACCCATTACTATAGATCTTCCTGAAACATGACAGTTGCCAGTTAAAATACAAATTACCATGCTTCAGACATTGTTCATAAATACATATAGACTTAAAAAATTGTCATTTCCCGTTTTCAGAAGGAAAAAATCAGTTCAGGGCTTGCAAATCATTTTGGGTGTTATAGAGCCAGTGTAAACAGATCTGTTTCAGCTATTAGAGTTCAATTTCAAAATAAAATCAAGCCATGCAAAAGACTCTTGCTAATTATCATTTTCAAGTTGGAGTTTTAAGTTTATTTATTTTTCTTAGTAGTTAAAAGTATATGGTTATCAATCTGTCTGATTGATACAAATCAGACAGAGGTACATATTTTTTGTCCCAAGGAAAACTGAGAAAGTATTAAAACACATAAAAGTAACCTGTGATTGTGGATGTATTTTCCAGAAAATAATTTCTCATTATAAGAACAAGCTCTGTGACCGTGTTTGACAAATATTTTGGCAACTGTCTAACCAAAATAGGACGTTTGCTATCCTACAAAAAACAAGGTAACCACTGAATCTTGTGGAACATGCAAAGAAGTCAGAGGATGAAGAAAATAAAACATAGAAGTTCAGCACAAAGTCATAACTAAAGCCAAAATAATTCATTTGCTACTTTCATTCCATTATCAACTGACTGTTAAATTAACATGAGAGCATTCAGAGCAATTAGATGACACAGATAATATAAAGGCTTCAGAGAAGCCAGGGTTAGACTTTTTCTGTTTGAAGACACCTTTGTTCCTATTAAGAGAAAGTATTTTACTCTTCCACTAAGGAAAAAGAAAGGCGAGAGTTAGAGGAGCTGACATCTTCAATTCCTCATATTGACAGTATTTCTTTTCTACAAATTACCTCTGTTTACTTTTAATGTGAATCTACTATTTCTAGACTGAAGGTTTAAATCAGCTTTAGTCAGGAATAAACAGAAATTAGTCAGGATCATTCATTTCCTTTTCCACTGTGCTGTGAATGCAGCCATGCTAGGAGAAGATCTACTACGGACTAGAGAAATATTAATTTATTGGCTCTTCTGATACATCCTGTTTAATCAACATCTCTAGCTAAGATCCTCTAACTCTTAGATCTGCCACTTGGAGGCCAGCAGTCATTATGATGGTTGATTAAATTCTTTTATGAAGTTAAAATTCTACACTTTAAGAATGCTACTTGATGAAGCACGTGGTTGCGCTAACATGTTTCTTGAAGTAGAAAAAAATGTCCCAGAACGTATAAGACCAGAAACTGTTGAGTATACAAATGACAAAGTAATTTGCTTTTTTTGATCTACTTTTCCACGGGAAATCTTTTCACATTTTTCAAATTTCTAAGGATCACTTTGCAGTCTTACCTCCCTGGCTACGAGGTAAAGCAGTTCCCCAAGTGCCGGTAGAAGGCACTGCTTCAATTTGCTGTTTCTGAAGTTGTCTCTGATGAGTTCAGTTAAAAGTATAACTGTCTAAAATAAAAAAAATTAATCAATATAACAACACGTAACATTTTCTCAAGCAAAATGTACTGTTAAAGGTAAAAAGCTTTATCTGAAATGCCATCTTACTGATATACTCTTCACTTTATGCTAAAGAACCATTGGCAAAGGATTTAGTAAGCATTGAAAGGCAAGAAAAATAATATTTACAAAACATTATATATGCAACATGGAGAAAAACGCAATAACGAAATAGCCTAGGTGACAAACTGTCAGCTATCCATTCTTCCCTTCCCCTCAGGACAATGGGGAAAAAAAAAAGCCTACTTGCTGTTACTATGTTTCTGTTAGAAGATCTAAAATGTTCACCATCAGGTTACAAAAAGAACAAGCAACAAAAAACCTCTAATGATGTCTTTTGTAGATATTAAATCAAAAGGTAAAGAACTATTAAAGTTTTGTCTCCTGATCTCTGAGTTTATAGACAACTCACTGTGTAAGAACTGGACATATGATTTTAGTTTTCTGTACTTCAAGAGTTTCTGTATGCAAAGCAGAGATACACATATATAATATTTGTAATGAGGGGTGGAGGGAAACTGGAAAATATTGTTCATCTTGTGCAGGTGACCTGATAAGAAATCACTTTCCAATAAGCATGAGAAACTGATTTCAACCTAACGTTTAATGCTGGACTCATTCAAGAAACGAAGGATCTTTGATCTACCACCTGTTAAACTGAACAGGATGCTATCTGTTCCCCAAAACCCAAATCTGCTCCTGCATATAGCAAACATTTAGCAGTATAGAAGCCAGTTGTTTAAGAAAGATGGATCTACATGTCCTCCATGCTCAAAACGTGTGCCTTGCAAGAGAGTAGGAAAAAAAGATGGATTTAACACACTTTCTATGTCCCTTAAGTAGTTCTTTTCTCTATTTGGAAGGATTTGGTTCCAATACTCTTAAAGCACTTACAAGATACAGCAAATAAGCTCTGTAAACAGATACTACTGCAGTAGTCAGTGACTTCCAATAGTTTGCATGATATGCGAAGTGAGATCTGAGGTTACTTTTACGTACTTTAAATAAAATATTGCACGTATTATTCCATTTTAAACCTTGGAAACTTCAATTTAATTACTACTTCAAAAGTGAAGTGTGACATAGCTTGCACTACTTTTTTTTTTTTAATTAAACAGAGAAAATATTACTAAAATGTGTCTTAGCCTATGGAAACAGCTAAAAAACAGTAGTTCAGGCAAATAATAATACTTATTGTTTCCCTATTATACCGAAAACAAGGCAGTAGAAAACATCTATTACAATCTCTATAACAAATTGAGAATGAATTTTATTTCGTTCTTCTGCTTAGGAACTTTCCCCTTCCCCTTTAAACAGCAAAAACATTATCAGCAGTATCATTGACACATTTCATGTGTTTATTGAATGTTTTAGTAGAGAACAATGGACTTTTTAAAAATGTTTTTGTTTAAAAATATGTTAAAGTGGGACTGACTCTGTGACAGTCCTGTTCCAAAGTCATTGAGTCCAGGTCTTAGATTTGATGATGCTACAAATACCTGTTAAGAAGCAGAAGTATTGATACAACTAATCAAATCACAATAAAATAATGTATAGATTTTTTCACTGTTCTCTTCTAGTTTAAAACTACTTTTAATATGGTCAAACAATAGGGAAGAGTTGGAGTTGGAAAAAAGTGATCTGGTGTTTTTTCCAGTTAGGCAAGTATTGTATTATCTCTATACAGAGCACAGAGAACACAGACTTTGATGACTCATCTCAAGGAACTCACAGTTTGCAGTCTTATTTGAATACAAACAGCACTTCAACCAAAGCACCTTGGGTAGCACATGAGAAAAAGAAGTAAAAACCAAAACAAGCAAAAACCACCACAACCATTCTGCCAGCATCAAACAAAACAAACCACAACAGCAACATTGTGGTTTTCTCACAAATCATGAGAAGTGTTTGGCCAAAGGCAAAGGTTACCTGAAATAGTCCTGGCTCTCTACTTTCAAAACATGCCCTCTCTTCCCACACTCAAAAGGCCCAGCAAAACACAGTCCCATCTAGTCATTACGCAAGAAGCAGCTAAAAAGAAAGCGTTACTTTGAGGTTTTTTCAGAAATCTAAAGAAAATTGTCATTTTCAACATAGATCTCACTCTGTATAAAGTGATGAATATAAATGCCAAACACATACATTGGCTGCTGATCACTGCCATGCAGATAGCAAATCTGTCATTATGCATACACCCCAATAAAAAAATGTAATATTTTATTAAATTGTTGATGGAATACATGTATGCTATATATTTATCAATTAAAAAAAAAACCCAAAACATAAGTTTTTACCCACAAAGTACAAGCACATAGCAAAACAGTAACACGTAGAAAGAATTTTAACTGAAGTATGTTAGGCAGAAGACAAAAATTCTGTTGTTCTGAAAGAGAACCAATAAAAATGTACATAATCTTGAAAAACCTGAAGATATATTCATTATCATCCCTGACTTGCAGTTAAGAATATCAGAATATCCTGATATTATCCCAATATCAGAAATTGCCTCAATCCTTATCAAAATCTTATAAGTCACTTCACCTTTATCACACGACATCATCATCTAGAGATCTGTATCAGAAAACTACTCATATGTTGCTGGATTCTGGATTGCTTTCATTAATTTTTTTTTTTATGGTGACAAATTTATAGGTGCATAAAATCACTTGCCCTGTAAACAAATATTCTTGTCTCCTAAATCCTTTGCTAATATGAAATATAATTTATGTTTTTGCAAGTCATAGTATTTTTGCGGTCTCTAACCTTACTCTCATTTTGCATCTAAAAGAAAGAGGAAAAATAATGACACTAAGGTCTCAAAAATTCCAAGAAAATAATCTGTGAAATTTAGTCTCGTTTTGGCAAATTTTGCAAGAAAATGCTCTGTGAAGATCCTATCACGCACAATTGCAAAAAGCATATAGGGAACTGACAGGTGAATCAGGTAGTAAATGAAACAAAATAAAACAAAACAAACAAAGGAACAAAAAAAAATCAGGAGTAAGATACGCACATATCCCCAGAAATACCAAGGCAGTGGAAAGAATTCAAAAAAGTTTATTTAGAAGGCCAGAACACCAAAACTTACAGAAACCTAACAGTGCTACAACAAACACTGAGCCCCAGGAAGAAAAAGGCAAACCTCCTGTTCACTCCCGGGCTTTATCATTGCTGGCCTCCCGCTGACTCTCCCGACACAACCGCCCTGTAGCATTTCTGTAAGCATTAACTCTCTCCTCTCACATATCAGAGAAAGAGGCTGAGAACTTCTCTTGCTATGTGGCTGGGGAAAAAAGCATAGAAACTGCCTTTCAGAGAGAGTTACCTTTTAGGCAGAAAGCCTTCCTAAGCGAAAACTGTCTCCTCATAACAAAATCTTCCATAAAAAAAGGTATTCTATCTTCACAAGGAGTTTACAGAATTTAACTATCATCCTAGGTGTCAACACTTTACAGTCCTAAAAGTTATAAAATGTCCTTTTTACCCCTTTTTCTTTTTCTTTTTAAATAGTTTACAGATATATTTGGCAGTAAAGCACTTTTTCTTCCCCAGAGCACTTAGGAGTTTTTATCCTAACTTTCCTTGATTTTACTTCACCTTCTGACCTTAGCAGCTTCATAACTCCAATCTTTGTACAGCAACATCACATAAAAACTGGAAATGCAGTCTTCAAAGCAAAGCAGACAGATCTACTAAACAAACTTTGACTTTCTCCCCTTTTTTTATGTAATGCTATGTTCATTAACTGTTTTCTTTAACTGCTTTCAGAGCACTTCTATGAACTTTATTCAGGAACTTTAAATAGCCTGCCATTCAGAGACAGTTTCACTTTCCTGTTTAAGAAATAAATATATCAGTAGGTTTTAAAGCTTCTAATATGTCAGCTTAAGAAAGTAGTAGTCAAGCTGGTTCAAGTGCAATTCTGCACTAAATGATGAACACATAATGACAGCATTTTCTCCTTTATTAGCTCTCCTTTCTATAGCTATAAAGAATTACTTTAGCTTTTGTGATTAAATACATTTTGGGAACTACTTTCACTGTGGAATCAATACCGCTAAAAGTACCTCAGCACTGTGGCATTTCTCAGCTTTGTCTCTAGACTGAGAGTGAACATGCCATGAGATAGCATTTAAACTACATAAAATTGATGAACCGTGTGATAACATGAGCTGCTGACAATAGTCCCAGCAGACTAGATGGGACATTAAATCATCATGATAAGTAAGTTACACTTGTTTGTTTGTAGGCAGGATCTGAAGAAAATACAAATCAAACTGCACATCTGCTATAGAGGATCAAGGCAGGCTGCTCAAAATTATCAGCTTTAATGATGAACCTCAACCAGCAGAAAACCCTGTATCAACGCTAATCCTGTTTAGCACCTGCAATATTTATTTTCCCAAAGCTTGGTTAATATATTGATAAATTTGGACAACACACTATCTAAATACATTTATGGATGCTGTCCTACAACTCTCTATTAATGTTCTATTAAATAAAACCATGAATTAACCTTTGTACGTAATAAAATTCCTATGTTCACTTGTACTAAGTTCTGTTTGGCTGCCTTATCACTCAATTGAAGTTCAACAAAACTGCCATCAACATTAAATATACTAGGTAGATTATCCATCTTCTGTGGGGTTTTTTAATTAAAATTAAGAATTTAAGAATGTTAATTAATTTAATTAAAATTAAGAATTTAAGATTTGAAATTAATGAAAATTAAATCAAAGAAAAATATTTCATAATGGTGAACAGAAATTATTGTTTCTCACTCTCCTTCAAGATTTTGGGATGAGTTATTATTTTTATTCTGAAGTTATTCTAGTATTATTTGTTATACTGAAGTGATAAGAAAAGGAAGTAATTCTCCTCATATTTCAATCCCTACAATTTTCTTGTATATGAATGTAAAAGTTAACTGAGTTCACAAAATTCAAACA